CACAGAGATCTGCCTGCCTCTGCCTCCCGAGTGCTGGGATTAAAGGCGTGCACCACCACTGCCCAGCTGAGACAGGGTCTCTTAATCAAACCCAGGACTGACTGATGTGGCTAGTCTTCCTAGGCAACTTACTTTGAGGTTCCTCTGTTTCCTTTGGAGGCCATAATTAAAGGTGGGCTCCTACATTCATCTGGCATTTACACAAGATTTGGGGGTCTGAATTCCAGTCCATTGAGCTTAGGTCTATATACAAATTTTTTTAAATTAATTTTATGGGCATTAATGTTTTACCTGCATGTATGTCTGTGTGACGGTGTCAGATTCCTTGGCATTGGAGTTACAGACAGGTATGAGCTGCCATGTGTGTGCTGGGAATTGAACCTGGGTCCTCTGGAAGAGTAGCCAGTGCTCTTAACCACTGAGCCATCTCTCTAGCCCCTAGAGATCTTTCCAAGGTATAGATCTGTGAGGGGTGAAAAAAATTAGGCTGGGCATGATACTGCAGTAGAGCACATATTTTGCATTTATGAGACTCAGAGTTGGTTCCCCAGGATTGTTAAAAACAACAGCTGTAATAAAAGTATCTAAGAGGCTAGGCTCTGTGCAAAGAGCCGTTTTCTGTGAGAGACTAGCATTTATGGGTTTTGGTATCTGCATAGGGTCCTGGAAACGATTCCTTGGGACACTGAGGTACAACTAGGCATGGTGAGTAGTTTATCATAGCCAGTGATGTTGTGTGGCTGGCTCTGGTGCCACTGGTCGATGTGGACTGAGTTGGCCACAACTATTCAGTTAAAACTGGCCACATGCTGGGCAGTGGTGGCACACACCTTTAATCCCAGCACTTGGGAGGATGAAGCAGGTGGGTCTCTGAGTTTGAGGCCAGCCTGGTCTACAGAGCGAGTTCCAGGACAGCCAGAGGCAGACAGATTTGATCTCACCAGGCTGAGTCTGATTTATTGGAACAGTGAGGGGCCTCAGCCTTTCAGCTTTACGGCAGGATGAAGATTGAGTGAGGGTCATCATTCTGGAATTCAACACTTGCTACCTCACTGCCTGAAATTGTCTTGTGAACAGTTTATCTAAACTTCAAGGTTCACCTGTCAGCCCAGGTGCAATCGAAATCATTCATTCCTTTTCAAAGATCTCATTTTTAGGTTGGGCAGAGGCAGGTGGAACTCTGAGTCTGAGGCCAGCCTGGTGTACAGAGTGAGTTCCAAAACAGCCAGAGGCAGACAGATTTGATCTCAGCAGGCTGAGACTGCTTTATTGGAACAGTGAGGGGCCTCAGCCTTTCAACTTACTCCAGGATGAAGATTGAGTGCACTTAAAGGGGTTGGGTGACAGGTACAAACACAGCTACCAGGAAGTTACAGCTAATTTATTTACCCATTCATTCGTTTACTTTTATTTATTTATTTATTTATTTTTATTTATCATTTTTATTTTTATTATTCTTTTTTTTTGAGACAGTACTTCTCTGTGTAACAGCTCTGGCTGTTCAGGAACTCACTTTATAGACTTGGCTGGCCTCAAACTCACAGAGATCCGCCTGCCTCTGCCTCTCAGAGTGCTGGGATTAAAGGCCTGAACTACCTTGCCTAGCTAAGTTATAGCTATTTTTGTGGTTTGACTTGGAAGCAGAGTGGGGTGTTTTTGAAGAGCATTGGTGGAATTTTAATTTATGTTTGCAGACACATGACTTTATTTTTATTATTATTATTATTACTGTTATTATTTTGTTCTGTTTAGTTTTGTTTTTCTTTTTTCTTCTTTGGTTTTTCGAGACAGGGTTTCTCTGTGTAGTTTTGGTGCCTGTCCTGAATCTTGCTCTGAAGACCAGGCTGGCCTTGAACTCACAAAGATCTGCCTGCCTCCTGAGTGCTGGTATTAAAGGGGTGTGCCACCACCGCCCGGCCAGTTTTGTTTTTCTTGAGGCAGGGTTTCACTAGGTAGCTCAGGGTGTTCTGGACCTCACTATGTAGACCATAGTCGTCTTGAACTCACAGAGATCTGCCTGCCTGCATCCCAAGTGCTGGGAATAAAGGCGTGGACTACCACACCCTGTCAGGTAATCATTCTTGATATCTCATCTCGTTTTTTTCCCCAGCAGAGTTTGGATCCCTCCACCAGGCACCTAGGATGTTGTGGCAGTATGTCCATCACTTTGGCCAGAAGTTGGTACGGCGGCGACCCCTGACGGCAAATGAACAGTCTGAGTCGCCCTTGTCCAGATGCCTGACCACTTTGGACCTGGTGTTCCTGGGTGTGGGCAGCACCTTGGGAGCAGGCGTGTACGTCCTGGCTGGGGAGGTAGCCAGAGAGAAAGCCGGACCATCTATCATTATCTGCTTCTTAGTGGCTGCTCTGTCTTCTGTGCTGTCTGGGCTCTGTTATGCGGAGTTTGGGGCCAGGGTGCCGTGTTCGGGTTCGGCATACCTCTACAGCTATGTCACAGTGGGCCAGCTGCTGGCTTTCATCACTGGCTGGAACCTCATCCTCTCCTACATCATTGGTGAGTAGGTGTGGGGTCTTCCAGGGATGAGGCGGAGAGGGTTCTTACCCTTATTCATAAGCATTGCCACTTGGGTGGTGGGACTCGGGTAGTGTGGGACTCTAGATGTCATTCTCTCTTTTTGCTGCTTCCTTAAGGGATTAATCTGGAAGAAATGATTTGTAGAGTGAATGGCTCTTTTTCCAGATTTCCTTTGGTTTGAGACAGTCTCACTATGGAGATCAGGATGTCCTCAGACTTGTGGAGATACTCCTAGCCTTGCCTCCCCAGCACTAGGCATATAGGTGTGAGACCCACCAGGCCTTACAGGAGTTCTGGCTTTATTTTTATGAATGCAGGGTCTCATGTAGCCCAGACTCGCTTTGCCATAGAGCATAAGACAGCTTTGAATCTCGGATATACCTGCTTCTACATACCAAATGCTGGGATTATAGGCATGAGCCACTTGGCCTGGCCTGGTTCCCCATCCCCTCCTTCCTTTTCT